GTAACAGGAAAAAAAATATGGATCACTTATGAGTGTAACATTTCGACAACGAATTTAGCCTTGGTGATAAAAAAAAAAGTTTTCTTAATATTGTACTATATTGGATTCAACTGTTTTATTCGGGTGATTAAAAAAAAAAAATAACTTTGATTACAATGTTTTGATTCAGTTATGCATTTGCAATGTATTCAAAAAAAAAACTTCGGACGTCATCTCCATCCCTTATAACATCATCGTCGTTGTTGTCGTGACCTTGATCTCCAGGGTCGTCATTGTCATCGTCATTCCAACCGTCTTGATTTAATAGACAGAAGTTGTGAAGGACAGCAGAAGCAATAGCAGTTTTGTTTGCAAACGAAATCCTGTTATCTAGCCGTTTCCCCAGTATCCGCCAACGATTTTTCAACATGCCAAAAGCGCACTCTACCGCTACTAAAAAAAAAGACAAAGCTCTATTAAAAGCTATCTCCTCTGGGTCTCTTGTTGCTTCAGGAAAAAAAAAAAGAAGCCAAGAAGCTAGAGGGTATGCACTGTCTCCAACTAGATAGGGTTTGACAAAAAAAAACCCGATTCGCACAACTGGACCGGTAAGAATCTGATCGTTCTCTGCGAAATCAAAAAAAAAACTATTCCGCAGAACTCTGGAATCATGCATACTTCCCGGAAAGCCCGACGCGAAAAAAAAAAAGCGATTTTTACCATCGACAATAGCTTGAACAATAAAGTCATGTTGTTGATAAAAAAAAAAATAGTCAACAGCACTTTCTGGAGGGGCAGCTATTCTTATGTGAGATCCGTCTAAAAAAAAAACAATGTTTGGGAGATCAGAAACATCTTGAAATGTCTCTATGCAAACCCGGGTTTCCGCTTCTGTAATGGGGAATTTTATGTAGACAGTTCTCACGCCATGTACGATATCTATCACATGCCATGCACGTAAAGGATGTTTATCTTGTAACTGGAGCTGTCTGTGAGAGAAATGAAGTAAATCCTGCATTCCGAGTTGCTTACCATGCAAAAATTTGCCTTGCTCTTCTCTGTAACCATTTATGCAAGGTAACAGCGTTTTAAAAATTTCACCAAAGGAAAGTGGAAATATTAGATAAAAAAGGTCAATTCTTGCAAAATATTATTTGAAAATGCTGTGTTACCATAGCTTTGGTTTCTAACAGATGCTTGATTAATCATAAATAAATAATCATCTTTATCTTGATACTCCAAAGGGGTGAATCTCAGGATCCAAAACATTGGCATATCCAGACCTCCAATTAAGTGGGAGCCTCACTCATCCAGACTCACGGTCACGGCAGAAGAGTGTTGGAACTGCACTTCGTAAATTAAAGCGTGACAAAAAAAAACTTGGAGGCAGAGGTAAACTTAAAGACAGTATGATTGAGAAACTGCAGAGCTAAAAAAAAATTGCCATAAGGTCCAATGTTGGAAATGTGGCCGAAATAAAGAAAGTCATTCATACTAGCCGTATACATTGTGCCTCAAAGGAGGAATAATGTATGCCGCCCGGTTAGCCTAATAAAAAAAAAGCTTGAAACCAGTTTTTTTTCTCAATTTTCAGTTTTATGAGGCTACTGACAAAAAAAAAACACGCAAAGATAACTTCCGAGGGTTTTATTCAATTCTAATTGCAGGTCGGAGTGGAAAGATCTCTGTATCTTTTTCCATTCAATGAACAAGAAACATACACTTAAGTGCATCTTATGTTGTTAAATGACTAAAACGAGATTGCTCATCTCATCAATTCCCGAAAGTTATTGTGTATTCGCCAGTATTTTCCAATCCATTTGACGGAGAGGTGTTTATGTTGTTTATTAAATGCAGGTGCATGTGAAGATCATTCTTAAAATTTTGTGAATTTTCAATTTAATTTTAAAGAAATATGATTTGTCTTGTTTGGGTGTCCAGGTTAAAATAAATTGAAAACTCAAGGTCTGTAAAAAAGCGAATTTTGAGAAACCGTTCCTTTTACTGTTAGTCTCAGCTTGGTGTACAGAAGAAAATTCAAAAAAAAAACGGGGTAATGAAAATTGGCCAGCTATGTCAAAATCTTCAATGGTCCTATGCAAAAAAAAAAAAAAGGGCGAAGATTAAAACAAATCTACCTTACTGAGATTCCGTCTTTCAATAAAAAAAAACCTCAAGGCTCCTCCTTTAAACAGAGACCTAAATATTTCCACCGATCCAACAAAAAAAAAATCAAACTTGATGTTAGATGCACAAATACAAATTCTTAAGCAAAGCAACAAAGAAAAAAAAAAAAGCAAATGTCTCACACAAACCTGCTATCGAGGAGGAAGACCTCCAGAACCAAAAAAAAATACAACCAATTCCCCTCTGAGGAACGTAGAGTATCATGTTGTCCTTTCCTTTAAAAAAAAAGGCCATGAAGGTCGAAAGTTGCTAACGAAGAGCTTCAAGTTTGAAATTGATGAGGCTGTACGAAGGTACACAACAATCAGCCACGATGAAACATCAAAGAATCACCCAAGAAAATTGAATGTTGTAGAAAGCACAGAAAAAAGAAGCAAGAAAGTGTGAAACCCAAGATGAAGGTGACGGCTACAAAGTGCTGAAGCTATACCTGCAGAAAGTCAAATTTAATGTGCACTGCCTTAAAAAAAAAATCTGAATAAAACAGCACAGCCAATGATGCAGTTGGGTACGAAGCACGACTGTTCATCAAATCAGCCAATAAGAAATGCACAATGGACCAGTGCTTGTCACAGTTGGTGGCTTAAAAAAAAATGCAAAACTGTCTTGGTGGTTAAAATGATCAAAGAGTCCTTTTTGGCCTCTACAATCAGATCACGAAGAGGCAGGCACAAGATTCTCCATGGCCACAATATATCACAAGAGCATGATCTCTTGATAATTCACCCACCCGACACTGATGTTGCAGTTCTTCAATGCATTAGCCTGAAAAAAAAAATGGTTTCGAACTGGCAGTAAGGACAAGTTATGCTTTATTTCCATTTGTGGCCTGGTGGAAAGTCTTGGCTCAGACACCTGTGCTTCCCTTACGTGTTTTCATACCCTTGCAGGATGTGATTCAACAAGTGGTCTTTACACAATTGAAAAGAAAAAAGCCTAGATGACCCTGAAAAAGAATCTCTTCATTCAGGGAGTGCCACACTGGGAGATGAACTGCAAGCTCTTCAGTTTGAAAAAAAAAGTTTCTTACTGAAGCTCTCTCGCCTGGCAAATTCGTCCCCGGGCAAATGTGAAAAAAAAAATATAGTAACAGATGGGCAAATTTAATATCTGATGACGGCAGCAGTGAGCTCAAAAAAAAAACGTAAAACGCTCTATTAGTCTGAATAGTTTTTAAACATGTCCAGCGGAGTGTAAAAAAAAAATCACTGTAGTAGATCTCTAGTTAAGTTGTAAGATTAAATATTTATGTCGTTAAAAAAAAATTTTATTTTTTCCATTTGCTGTGTTTTGTGAAAAAGAAAATTTTTGTTTAAGAAAAAAAAAAACTAATAAAAAATATTCCTTAGAAATAATATTAGTCAGTAAAGTGGTTTAAAAAAAAAAATCCATCTGTATTTCTGTGTAATGAAAAACGCAACTTGACAGCAATAACTGTTAAAAAAAAAAATCGTTGTATTTGACTTTGGTTGTTAAACTACAAAACTTTTTTAGGTTGACAATGTTGTTTATGGCATTTATAATTTAAAGCAAATAATGCCATAATCTATTGATTTTTGCGGCTTCAGGTTAACAATCGCGTTAATGGCACCAGGCAGATTGAAGTTGAGAATTTATCAAAAAAAAAAAAAAACAGATATAAACAGCTAAAAACTAAAACTTTTGGATAAACTGGCGTCAAACAAAAAAAAATTCTGTAGAATTTATGAAAGGCAAATTTCTTAAATCTTACATGTCCAACCACAAAAAAAAACACCTTCAGTGATGTATGGCTTGTTACATCGAAATGAGCGATTAATTTTTGCAAAAAAAAATCTCTGTGGGTTCACGAATAGATTTAGAGCTAACGCTTAGCGTCACCTGAGCCGCGACTCAAATTAGTCTTTCCCCTTAGTTTGTGAAAAATGCAAACGCATCTCGAATTACGAAAAAAAAAAAAAAAATTGGGGTAGGGAAATCAGTGAAACGTTGTTTTCTATTGTAGGATTAAGTCTGGTCATTTCTAATTCAGTAAAGCCTGGACTGGCGGAGTGCGATGCAAGTTAGCCACACCTGAAATAATTTTATTACATCCATCACCGTCGCCCGTTTGATCGGTCGCTTTGCTCTTAAACATATGTTTCAGCTTCGCAAAAGGCTGTTATTTGGAAAGCATTTGTCGTAATTTGACCAAAAAAAAAGTTTATTTGCAATTGTAGTCGGTTAAACTTCAATCTACTTAAAACCTGTCCAAAAAAAAAATATTTCTTACAGATAAAGAAGCTAGAAATATTATGGCAGACGAAGACTCAGACTCAGAGTTGGCTACGGCAACCAGTAAAGGTGATGATAACTATAGGTTTTACTCGTTATTCAAAAAAAAATTGAGGTTTCCTAGCATTTCAAGTGTAATTGCATACACGGATTGAAAGTTCGAGTGGAATTTTCAGCTTTCTTTTGGAGCCTAAATAGCGGTAAACAGCCCGAGTGTAGTAACGGATAATCTTTATTTGTACTCGCATTCATACTTGCTCTAAGCAAAAAAGTTACAAAATTGAAAAAAAAAAAAATGAAATTGGAGTACTAGCAGCCTGGAATAACCAGAGGGGCTAGCGGAGCAAAAAAAAAAGAGTTAGAGTAGTAATGTAGTGATGTAGTAGTAGTAGTAGTAGTAGTAATGAAAAAAAAATGTAAGTCGTAAGTCTTGTTTACATCTTATTATTTAAGCCATTTCCCTGCAAAAAAAAAAATCTTGAATTTATGTACCGTTGCAGTTAATTTTATTGCAGCGAATATTCTGTCGTACTAGTAAACGAAAAAAAACACACCACAGTATTACTAAGTCTTTACAAATTTTGTAGGCCCAAGACAGGGTTTTTCCCAGCAAATGCAATTTATTGTTAATATATACTCGTGGATAAGAAAATGTTTACATATGCTGTGCTAAATTAGAGCAGATTTTCCCTATTTCAGAGTTGATCTGCCAAAAAAAAACTAGTTCATGTTTTTTTTTGTGGCGTTAGTTTATCTGATGAATGTAATTAAAAGGACGTAAAGACAGCAGAGTGACAATAACTCTCAAAAAAGAAACAACAACTTTGAGTTTTAAAAAAAAAGACATGTTTCGACATTTTCTTGTCGGACAAAACTTCGCATATTTACAAGCACAAAAAAAAATCAAGGGCTTGTCTTGACTCTTGCGATACTGAATGTTTCACGATCTTAGATTAAAAAAAAACAAAAT